GTCAGGGCTGTCCAACTGGCAGCCCGCGGGCCGTATACGGCCCGCCAAATAATTTTTACGGCCCCCGAGTACATTTTACTATGAATAAATTTATGTTACTAAATTATTATTATTAATATTAAAATTATTTTACTATATGAAAATTTAAATCTAATATGAATTTAAAGTAGGTACTATTTAGTTTGCGTAACTTCACTTAACCTGGCTGAATACAGCAGCAACCTTCTTGGCCCCCGAAATGTTTGGTGAAGAAAATATGGCCCGCGGGCTATGATAAGTTGGACAGCGCTGTTATAAAATAATCATTATATGACACATTACCCTTAATAACGATAATTTTTTTTTTATTTCGAATTGCTTTAAAGCACGCTACAAGCATTATTGAAATGTATTATATAACTTAATGATAAACAATGTAAAGGAAATTCAAAGAATAGAACGTTTATTATGCTGGTGATTTAATTTTGAATCAGAACTATTCATTATCATAACATTTCAAGGTTGAAAGTATAAAATATTGCAATAATTTAAAATGTAATATTTAGAAATTTCTCATTATAATAAATTTTAATAATAATAAACAATTAAAGAATGTGATTTATGTTATATGAAATAACGCTAATTTAATAACGAAATAATAATTTTTTATATTCTGTTTTAAATTTTGATCTATTACTATTTTTTATTTACATTTTATTGAAGTAATCATCACTAATTTGGTTTTATTCGCCTGAAGTTGATATTTTTTAATTAAGATATTTAGTTATTGTCTTTTACTATAGTTATCTTTTTTCCTATTACAAAAATTAATTATTGTAAATAATATTTGAATGCTCTTCTAAATGACATTCAACGACGATTTTCAAAGTACAATTAACATGAGATTTTAAACCAATCACTTAATTTATAGAAGAAAAATAATTATAGTAGAAAGAATTAACTAAATATCCAGACTGAAATCCAATACTATATTTAATTATTTTTTCCTATTTCAAGTATTTTTCTTCCATAAATTAATTGGTTCATTTCAAATTCTATTTTGATGATACTTTGAAGGTAATCTGATCAATTTGAAGACCCACTTTGAAAGTTTTTCCGGAGAACTAAATGGATCAATTAATGTATAGGAGATAAAATAATTGCAGTATAAGAAATTGGCTAAATATATTTAAAGT